ACCACACGCACGCCTCACGGCGGATGCGCAGCAGCAAGAAGGTTTCGGTCATCCCTTGAGGTTGAGTCTAGCCCTGCTCGCCAGGAAGACCCCCCCCTTCGCTACAACCCATGTCTAAGCATATGACCTATAATGAAAAAAATTGGAAGCGATAATAGTATGGGAGACGAGCGCAGAGCTGAGCGATGCTGCCCGTGGGTTTCAATGTATGCTGGCGTGCACAGGGCTCCCCGGGGCGCGTTTCTAGCTACCCTTTGCAACCCTTTTTCATCACGCCCCCACGCGACGACCGCCTGAGGGTTAAGCTGGCCTCTTCGCCAGGCGCGCCAACACCATCACAAGGGAGGTTATGTGCCAGGGTAGAGCGAGTTCCATTCTCGGTGAGTCTTTTTGTCGTGACTTCGCGAGGGCAGCAACCCGGGGTGGTTCCGAGCCGAATTCCGACTACCCTCCACGTCGCAGGCGGGTCTGTGTCGCTGAAGGGGGGGAGTTTCCTGCCGTCGCGTGTGTTGATAGTACATGTCTGAGGCTCACGTGGATAGAAATCCGTTTGGAAGATGGACTTGTGTCCGCAGACTTCGCGCCAAAAATGCGGACCAAAAATCTCACCGTGGTAGGAGCACCCTGCGAGGAAGGGTTCAGCAGCAGGTGTTTTTGAAAACTAGAAACTGCCCAGGCTCGGATCACACACCCCGACCACCAACGCGCGCCACGCCAGAGCACGTCAGTTGCGAAAAAAAAAACTTGTGGCTTCCACCATGCCGTCGGGGTCATCTTAATGCTATGGGTATCTGAGACTATTCTATTTTTAGCACAAAACCGACCTGTCCACTTTCGCCGCCGCTGCTACATTAAGTAGTAGCAGTAGCGTCTGTTGTATATATATATGGCGAAATAACGATAAGCTTTGAAGCATCACAACCCCACATCGCACGCACTGGTGGGAAATTTTCTTCACACCAAAACAAACGCGTCTCGCTCATCATCTAGTCTAGACTATACGCTGAATATGTGAACCTGTCAGGAGGATCCGAACTGGGGGTAGCTTGTCGCAAGACGTGTGTTGAATGTCGGCAACTCGGCGGGCTTGCGCCGAGGAGAAAAACTTGTTGTGATTAGTTGCATCCACATACACACACACACCAAGGCGTACGATTCGGTGGACCGAGATCTGCTGTGGGACGTGCTCGGACGCTTTGGCGTGCCCCCGAAGATGCTGGTGGTCATTCGCCACTTCCACGAGGGCATGAGGGCGCGGGTTCGAACGGACGACGGGCAGTACTCGGAATGGTTTGACGTCGGCCAAGGTCTCCGACAGGGATGCAACCTGGCCCCGCTGCTGTTCAACTTGTTCTCTGCCGCGATGCGCATGGTCGCAGTGACCGGGTTCGACAAGGACCCCAACGTGACGGCGGATATGATCAAGATCGCAACCCGAGTGGAGTGCACGGGCAAGAGGGGCAGGTCGGCGGGGAAGAAGGCGATGATGG